ATTACCTCTAGTCACGAAGGTTTACACAGTATTTCAGGTTGGAAAAGATATTAGGCTTCTTTTTTTTCTTTCTGTAATAAGAATTGACTTGGAGATAATTTTTTTCATGTATTTATTTGACTGAGCACCCACTAGTTGCCAGACACTGTTTCAGCATCAGGGGTACATAAAAGAACAAAGTCCAAAAATTCTGCCCTCGTAAAACTTGCCATATAATTTTGATTACTGAAAAAAGGAATGGTGAGAAGTTGTAAGTAGAACATTAAAAAAAATTTTTTCAATTAAGGATCAAAATAACAGACTATAGGGAGGCCAAACAAAATCAAGATCTCGCTCTGCCCTCAGAGGCAGGCGTTGTTAGGCACATGCACACTGGGAAACAGAAAATGTCATCACATCCAGATGCATCTAGTCCCACTGAAAATGCTTACCAGCACTAATATATGTGTTTATTCTCATTTTGTTTGGTGAGGTGAAGTAAAAGAGATTAACACTGCTTCAGGGGCAAAGGGTAAGTTTTATGTTCGGCTCTCATTGCCTCATCACATTGCCTTAGTTACCATGGCCTCCACGTGACCAGTTTCCTAAGACAAAGTCCAAAATCTCCATATATGATCACCTGTGGTTAATCATAGAAGAAACTAACAAGTCATGTGATTAAACATACAGCATTTCAATTATTTTGTTAAAAACTATTGATGATATTTCAAATGTAAATGTGAAAGTATTCCAAGGAATAATTCAACAGAGTAGCCAAATTAGATTTAAGTATACAAATCTTATGAGAGGCCCTCTGTAGTAGTAAAACACTCAGGTTTCTAGCATTCTAGGCCTGGTTCCAACATTTCCTAACTATGTGACACAATCTTTCTAAAACCTCAGGTTTCTTCTTTTCAAAGTAGGAAACAATACCTGTCTTGCCTGTTGCACAAGGTTACATTAGGAGTGGCTTTTTAAAAAGTAAGTATTTTGCAACAAGAAATACCTAAATTCTGACCTACTCAAACTCTTCTATTTCATAAATGAGAAAATAAAGACCCAGAAAACTTAAGAGACTTACTCAAGGTGAGTCCACTTAATAGCAGAACTGGCATTAGGTCATTGTTCTCAATTTCTTGCCCAGGGATCTTTCTTATCTATGAGATAATGTAGTAAAAACTCTTTGAATATTATGACATGCATGGAGGGTATGTATAACGATAGAGCAAAGTAATGTGATTTCTCTACCTCTGAATTGTTATATTTCTCAAAAAACAAAACATTCATGAATATCTAACAATGTATTGAATTCTTCTACACCAAGAATTAAAAGGAAATCTATTCAGGAAACATTAGATTGCTAATAACAATGGTTTCACGCTTTGTGCAAAATTTTACATGCAGATAGGACTACTGAAGGTGCTTTGGCAACCCTCATTAATAGATCATGCCAAGTTTGACACTTTAGTTCTCAGTCTAAGAATTTATTCAACTGTCAGCATCAACATGATATTGGTTGAGCTTTATAAAATAACACATCATGATTGTTTTTTATTTTATTTGCATGCCTAAAGTTAGGCCTTTATTATCTTTTTGATGATCTAATACTCTGAAAGCAGGTAGCAAACACCAGCAAACAAATACACTATTATTTGAGAAAGACTTTCTGTTCATTGATGGGTTTAGCCTTGACCCTAAAATGTATATAGAAAAAGTATCAGTCAGCTCGTGACATGCAAAATGTTTGTGTCAGACTCACACAGAGCAGGTTCAGAAAGCAGGTGTCCATAAAGTCACCTAATGCTAAAAATCAAAAGCCTTCTGAACCAGAAACTAAGAAATAGCACTTTAGGTTCTGTTTCAAGCTCATTATTGATTTTACTTTAGTTATGAATCAATTTTAAATAGCCACACCTATTTGCCTGCCCCCCAAAAATCACTGTTCAGATGATTACTATTTAAATTAGATTTTAACTATATCATTATAGATTCATGGGAAGAAGAAAAAATGGAATCTAAATTGTAATATAGAGGCTGTAATCCCATATTTCAGCTCACAAATGTAAAAGGCTAACTAGATCCATTACAAACTTGGTGAGCTGCCATAGGCGTTTCACTTAGAACTAAAAATTATGCAAAGTCATTCTGACGTAAAGGGAGGAAATTTGTAAAAGAGTTTCCAATCAATTTTCCACTTCTGAACAGCAGTCATTAAGTAGCAAATAGTGTTTCAAATAGCAAAATAAAAATGCTGGTTTGGATACTTTTCTCATTTCACTTTTAAAGATGGCAATGCTATCCTAAAAGGTTTTAAGTGCTTATCTGTAGTTACACACCATCAGGAAACTCGAAGCTTAAGTCTCTGGAAATTTCTCCTGACACATAGGATTTTAAAACTTGAGGTAGGGCTCATTCTACAATTTGTTATTTTATTGCTAAATGTTTTGTTGCATAGATGAAAGTTATGATTCCTTACAATGTTCTGCTCTCTGATTTCCCTTGCATTTCGTATCTTTGTTTATGAAACACCTTCCTCCTGGAATTTCTGTCCTTGCTCTCTTTCCCTATCGGAATACTGTATTTCCTTCAAGTGTCGACTTAGATCTAAGTCTGAGCACAAATCTTTCCTTCGGTGCATCAGGCTTACCTATCTTTCATTTTGTTCATGAATTCCTGAGGCAATTATAGTTGGTGCTACATCACCCAGGAACATGAATGTATTCAGCAAACCAACATTTTAATGTCTGGCCTTTGCCAGACAATGCATTTGGCATCAAGGCTAGTAAGAGGATACACTACCTTTCAGTAAAAGAGGAGGAACTAAGCATCTACTTAACACAGAAGTGTATTTATATATCATCTCATTTGTCTTTTGTCATGTTAGTTTCATGGTTTCTCTTTAAGGTAAAATTTTCAGTCCTGTATCACAAGTGAGGACACTGAGGCATTAGGAGATTAGGTTACTGGCCCAAAGATTTCAGAGACAAAACTGCTTCCGAATCATGCCAAGTTCTGTGTCTCATCGCCCCAGGTACATCGGTGCCCAGTTCTCTGAGAATTCGGCACTGTTTTTTAACTCTTTTCCATTCTTTGATTTGCTAGAGAAAAAAACATAGTCAATTATTGACTGATTGCAGAGTGTGAATTCGATTCAAGTCTTAATAAAAACCTAGAAACATTTGTTTCTAGATATCATACAACATAGTTGGAACAATTTTCTGTATTATAAATAATGGTATTGAAATACATTTAGTTGTCTAATTAGGACTCTAATAAGGGCAAAGGAAAAATGCTGCAGATGAAAACTGATAAAAACAACAATAACCAAACCTAGCTTCTTTCTTCGATCATAAAGTGACAAAAATATACAATCATTTGGAACCCCCTAGATTTAAAAGGTCAAATTCACTGATGCCTCATTTTACCTGTATACCAAAAGATCAGAAAATCCTCAACCTTCAAGCAATGTATATTCTAAGTATAACAGCAACTTAGGGTATGTATATGTTCTGCCTTAAAGAAAACCAGGTGACCAAGCAAGGGTAACTTTCTCTCTTAGATCTCTATGAACAATCTGAACTTAAACTTTGTGCTTTCTTTAAATGAGAAAAAAATCTCATTTAAGATCATAAGAAAACAAATATAAACTATGGCTCTTTATCCTTTAATAGTATATTGCATGTATATATTCAGATACATATTGTTAGTAAGTGAAAATATCAGATGCCATTTGAATGTTGCAATGCCATTATAGGAAGTCAAAGATAAAATTCCTAAAGGGAAAGAAAAACTGTGGGAAAAGAATCTCTAGCTTTACACATACAGTTATGAAATGTTTCTATAAACTGTGCCATTTTCTTAGAAATTAAATTTTTAGTTCTACCTGATCTATGTGTATGTCAGGATTAAATATTTGAATTTCATAGTAAAAATAAACTTTACATCTCTACAATATTAAAGTAAAAATTTTAGGTAGAAGTATATAAACATTTTCAAAGGATATTTTATTAATTATCTGCATATTAGAAATGCCATTAAGAAAATATTTCATCTTAAATAGCCTTATTTGTCCCTGGTACTCAGTACCCTATGAATCTATTTCTCCTTTGTTAGGATCAATATGCATATTAAAACTCTAAATGTCCAGGTGCTGTGGCAAAGAATTACACACATGCCACTCTGTTTTCTTAAATTATTGTGGATATAGCAACTAAGGATGAGTTCCCAGGATTTAGGCTGCCTATATTAAACTCCTGGCTTCCCCCCTCATTAGCTATGTGACTTAGCATGGATTACTCAATTTTGCTGGACCTCAGAATCCCTGATCTTAAAATAAAGCCAAGCAATTCATGTCTTATGAGCTTGTCGTAAGTATAAAATGAGATAATGCATATAAAACACTGAGTACAATGCCAGACACATAAATAATGATCAAGAATTATTAGCTATTATTACTACTTTTATTAGCCAATAAGAGTTTATCATTCAAACCAACATGCCATTTGAGTTTAAGTTTTTAATAGCAAGGTCATGTCATACTTAACTTTGTATCCTTGATACATTAGTGAGTGTGGATTGAATGACAAGCTGAATGTATGAATGAATGAACCAGAAAATGAACACTATTTAAGATACACACACATTCAAATATACAGTACATAAGATATTAGATAACTGTACCCATAATACAAGATCAATGGCCAAATTATCAGTTACTTAAGTACAATTAGTTAACCATCAATTAAGAGGAAATAATAATCAAACCAGATGGATATTTGATTGAATTGACCCACTGTTTGAGTAATTTCATAGGCTCATCCATGTCGTTCATTATGGCACAGCCTCACTAATATTTAAAGGAAAAGAAACATAAAATCAATTGGGAAAGGAGAGTGTGGCATTTACATCATGATTAGACTAAGGATAAGTATGTAGAGGCCAAAGAAAGAGGAGAGCAGCATATTTATACACCATAGGAAAAGGGGTATTAAAAAATATGGCCAAAGGACACATGTGAAGTAGAAGCAGCAAGCAAAGAAAGTATAAACTTACTTTCTTTCATAAAAATAGCATTAGAAATATCTTGGAAAAAGAACACCAAACATTTCAAAACCAAACAGAAATAAATATTGAAGTAGCCGAGTATTTGTTCCTAGGAAGGACTCCCTCCACTTGAAGTCTTACTGAAACCATGTTATGCCTTACAGACACACACACAAACACAAGCATGCATGCACACACATTTCTTCGTTGCCTAAATTAAAATTTTTAAATTATTCTTAAAAGTACTGTACCCATACTTTTCATCACAAACAGCAAACATTGACAACCACAATACATCTAACAAATAATCTTTAAAACAACCTTTGTAAGTGGAAAATTATGAATCAGCAACAAAACATCTGTGTTCCTAATTGCAACTTTGGCACAGATCTGATCGTGGTGACTACCACCACTCACTTATTGTATTAATTTTTACAAGGCCAGCTGTCCAATGGCCCAGCATCACAGATAACTCTACTTTTATAAATTTGTTTCTTGTCACAGCCACATCAAAGGAGAAGAAAAACGAGTTAACAGTCAGCACTTAGGGGTTGTTGAAGTGGCAGAAGGTTCAGTTCCTTTAGAGCAATGACTCTGGCTTGACGTTGCAGGATTTAAGGTAAAATACTACCTTACCTGAAAGGGCCTTTGTCTATGACTGAGAGGAAATAGTGCATTCTGCTCCTGAAAGTAAAATATGGATCTGCAATTTTATGAAGAATAATGTCATTAGTCATCAAGATATCTTGAGTGTATTTTTTAAATGATCTCTTTTCTGTCTTTTAAAAAAATATTGTAGACTCTGCCCTCTACAGTTCTCTCTCTCTCTCTCTCTCTCTCATACATGCACACACACATGCCATGCACATGCCAAAATAATGGTCTACAGTTGGCATTCTGTTATCCAAACGTTGGTGATTTTGAATCTGCAGCATGTTTGAAGGCGAGGTGTCACATTCTTCTCACTGAATGGCAAGACTGATTCACCGATAGTTCTGGAATGTAGCCAGTCTCCCAGGATTGAAGTACCACTTATCACAACACAGTTCCATCAAGATAGATATGTGTAGAAAATAGATGTAACCAGACACTTAAGCAACTTGTTGAATAGTCAATAAACTGAAATAGAAGAGGTGGAAGAAATGATCTATAGAGGCACCTGGAAAATACCCTGGATACCCAGACGTTCGTAGTATGAATCTTTCTGAGACAAATGTTTAAGTCAGTATGTGTAGAAGAACAAACAGTGAGAATACCTGTAGGAAGGACCTGCAATTGCAAAGGAAAATTTCTGCAGTAACTCCAGGTCTCAAGTGCCATCGATACCATTCCCACCAGCATTCTATTCTCAACCACTGTCAATGCCATCTTCTGTGACAGAAGTTAGCAATGTGTGTCATCATATTTGACCGAATTATCATTAGTCATGATTACTTTGAGGCAAAGCACTAGCAAGGATACCTGTAGAAAAAACGAAAACAAAAACATAATAAATTCAGAAATCTAAATAACAGGTATAAGTGTTTTGTTTTTTTCAAATGATTTGCTTCTCACATGAATAAAAACTGACCTCCATATTTTAATTTGCAATGAAACAAGTTAGACTTCGGGCTTTAATCTATCTTCACAAACTCAGGACTGTCTCATGAACTTGATGGAGCCAGAAAGGCTTTCCCCTGGGTCCTACAGTAGAATTCAGTCATTTCTGCCTGAACTCAAGCCACTTCAGTTGCTTGCTCTGTACCTGCCCCTCCTTTCTCCCCTCTTTCCAAAATATCACTGTAGCAACAGGCTTCCCCTCCCCCTGCGTGTTAGGATGTCTGACTCATACTACAAATCATAAACTCCTCCCATCAACGGGGAACACATAATCTTATTTATTGCTCTTCACAAATGCCCAGGTACTATAAGTCTGAAGATTCTGGCATTTTCAGCACTGATTTGGTCTTCTCCACACTAACATTCCTAAAATCATTGTTGACACTTTTTCATTATTGCCTCTCTAGCACGTAGGCTTATGTCTGGCATAACTGGTATATTCAATGTGCTTGTTCAATAAAGGAATAAGTAACTCCTACCATAAAATGCTCTGCAATACGTATTTATCTAATTCCAAAAAGAGTTTTGTGTTACTTAGATTATTAGGTTAGCATTCTGTCCCAACCATCTAATTATTTATTGACTTTATTCTTTAAATTACTCAGGTTCAAAGTCATCTTAAAAGCGTATCCATACCTCTATACTGAGTTACTATCCCCCAGTGCTAATAATTGCCCCCATGTCAGTTCCTCTGTCTTTAATCCAGATGATCATGAAGTCCAGAAGGCCAGCATTTGTGCCAATGGCCTCTGTCAACCAGTCCTCATGACATAAGATCTTAATGGGGTTTTGGGTTTTTTGGAAATGATATTTGTGGATCATTCAATCTAAGCTGATGAGTTATGTGCTAAGGTGACATGGTCAGAAGGTGTGTACAAAAGCATGTAGAGGCATTCCAAGGATCAAGATGCAGGTTGAGGAGTCTAAGGTTGGAAAAATTGGAAGAAGTTTAAATCAGATAAGAAAGAGCATGACTGAGAGTTCCAAGATATTAATAAAAACGTTGCACAAAAAACGTTGTGTATTACCCTTCATTGATGTTTGTTCTCATTGTATCCTATTCTGCATCAAAAATTAATAAAGTGGGTATCATATTTCACCCCATTAATGAGCTATTGCAAGCAGCAGGTCTAAGTAGGAAACCCTGGTTTGTTTAGAGGCACAGAATTGTGCAATTAAAATAGAAAGATAATATGTGTATGACATACTTATTTATTCTAATACATCATGGCAGTTTTGAGCACTCTCCAACTCTATCAACAGGAACAATTCTTTAGTATTTTGTGGGAAAAAGTATGTGCTGAAGCTCTCTACCCAACAGAGCTAATGTCCTGGAATAGAGTCTGTAGCTTCTCTCTGCCCCACTACACACACACACACACACACACGCACATGCACGCACACACACAAACACTTGCACAACCTCACATCCCCAATTTCCATAATCTTTTAAAACCAAAACCTTAGGCCAGGCTAGTTCAGTACCCGCAGAGAGAACTCTAAATGACATTTAAGTCAACCTTGGAAATAGCTAGTCATCTCCTTACTTAAAATGAAAACTAAAGAATGTCAATTTCACTTATTTTTAAGTAACACTGTAGGCATTGAAAAGAGAAAATGTTGATAATGTTTTGTTGTGCTTCGTTTTTGCTTTTTGCTGTTATCGTTTCTTTTTTGGAGATTTTTGTTTTGAGTTCTGGTTGTGTGTGACTTATTTGCAAGCTGATTTGCAGGCTAAGTATCTAATACCTCGTATTTTTCTTAGTTGATAAAATCCTGCTGACACCTGACACATAGAAAGTTCTACATCCTGAGAAGTCAATTTTGTGACGTGTTAAAGAAATGGACTTTTCATTAGTTCCTAATAATTAATTTTTTCCACAGGGTAGACTTAGCTGCCCAAATAAACTGTTCATTCTTTGAAGGTAGGGCAAAATCTTATTATTCTGTGTCCTCTTTCCAGTTGGTGTAGATTTGAGCACATATTCAAGCCAGAAACACTTACTGAGAATAAACTTTCATCTGCAAGAAACTGAAATAGTCACTAGGTATAGGGAAATGAGTAAGATGAGGTCCCTGCCCACAGGAGTTTCATGGGAGAGAGAGAGAAGGTAATAATTACATTATAACATGATAGAATCCATAGCATCTTGATAAGAAGAATCCAAAACAGCTTTGTAGAAAGGGCTGCCTGATAAGACCTGGATGCAGCCAACTCACGCTGGCCCCTCAGGAAGAATGCAGAAGCCACCAGCAGTCAGATTTCAGTCTCCTTTTCTCCTCTCATACCTAACTTGTGCTTGCAAAATGGCTGGCCCTAGCCAGAAGCTGGGGAGCAAGAAAGCATGTGTGGTAGTCCATCTGGGTCCATCTTGCAGAGCACAGGGCAGGGTGCTGAAGGGTGGGAGGTGGGTCTTGAGGTATAAATAGAAGATACCCAACACAGACATAGACTTAAGGCTGTCAATTTAGTTTTGCAAATGACAATAGTCGATGACAGGTGTTCAGATGGGGGTAGAAAACCAGCATCTGAAGTTCAAGAGGAAGGTGTGTGCTAAACAAATGGATTTGGGTTCTACAGGCAGTTGAAACCATGAAAGTAATCGAAATAAACAGAGAGGTGGAAAAAAGAGCCACAGGACGCATCCTGAGGAACTCCTGCACTTCAGGTGTGGTTAAGGAAACCGTGCGTGATCAGTAAAGAAAAGGCAGCACCGGCCACGTGAAAGGAAATCCAGGGGAACACATAATCACGAAGTCCTGGGAAGAAATTGTCAAAAGGGTTACATTTAATGGAGAGATCAAACAGAGTAAATGTTGAAAATACTCATTCAATGTAGCAGTGAGACCACTGGTAATCGTAGTGAAGAGTCGGAGCGAGAGGTAGGGAAGTACGCCTGCTGCACTGGAAGAAGACCTGGTGTCTCAGCAATCACAGAGAGCAGAGCCTGACGCTAGTGCTTCCCCGGGACGTGCGCCCCCAAGGCAGCAGGAGTGAGGAAAGAACAGGAAGCAGGCAAGAGGGAAAGCAAACATAAAGAGGTGCATTACGCAGTCTACCGATTTGTGAGAAAACCCAGCCAGCTGCTTGGTGTCTGGGTGGACATATGGAACCACCCGCAGGCAGAACAGCTGACGGAGGGAGAAAGTAAGAGGAATTTGTCTGCTGCAACTCCTCTGCTCCACCCTCAACCTCCTGTCTCTCATGAGTTGAAACTCACCTTACTCCCAATTGTGCCACGCAGCCCTTCAGGGCGGCCGCTGCTGCACTGCTCCACACCTGAGTGCTAAGTGGTGGGAGGAGCCAGAGCTGCAGGTGCATGCAGTCAGCTCAGACTGGAACAGCTGCGACTCTTTCCTAGGGAAGTGCCATCCAGGCCATGCAAAGGCCCAGCTCTCACCCTGGAGGAGTCCGCGAGAGGCAGCACGTGAGAAGGCAGCTGTGTGTGTGCAAGTTCTCCACTGAGCAAGCAGCAGAGGACCCAGGAGGCAGCAGAGGCTGCACAAATCTGGAGAGGGAAAGCAGAAGAGGACTCTAGGGGACAAGCATGACAATGCGGAAAGAGCAGAGTCTGGAGCCAGGTCGCCCAGGCTTAAGTCCCTGCTCAAGCCCTCACTACCTGGATGATCTTGAACAATTCATTTGACCTTTCTGTGCCTCCGGGTTCTTATCCGTAAAATGTGGAAATAAGATTATCTACTTCATAAGGTTGTTGCAAGTTGCTGCATATAAAATGTTTAGAAATGCGTCTAGTACAAACTATGTATTATTTTAATGTTTGATAAGGATCAAAGAAGGAGTCTTCTGTTATTAGACACTGCTTCCTGCAGAGGGATAAAAGTATTTTAAGCAGAAGACACACATTCTAGGATGGGTAAGGAATTACTGATGGAGAAAGCTATCGGAAAGGATAGGATTTCTGCATCAGATAAAGGGATTAGTGCCTCTTAGGCACTTACTGATCATATGCTTGTTGATCGGTCAGAAATAAGTATTAGATCAATAAAGTAATCATGCATAGTTTACATAAGCATTTTGTGGACTGTTTACTAGTCTAAATTTTTAAATGCTATATTATAATGAAATTCACTGTACTTGTACACATAAAGGCCTGTAATAAATCTTTAATGAATGAAGAATTGAAGGAATGATTGAATGATATTGACCGCTCTGCTGATTCAATTGTTACCTTTCCAAACCCATGTACACTATAAGATCTTATGGCTTAAACTCATAAACTAATCCAAAGTGAGGGACGTAGAGTATTCTGTGAGTTCGGACTCACCAGCCACACGCATCCAGGTTAATGTCATAGTACCTGATGAATCCGCATTGAGTACTAGGTGCTCATGTACCCACCATATTCAGTAGACTTTTGGGGGGCTGCTGTGTTCTCCAGTCTGCATGCCCATGCTTCTCCTGAAGTTTCCTGTTCAGTGTTCCAGCTTCCTTCCTGAATTAGAGCTCAATCCCAAACTTCAGCCCATGTACATGACCTTTTGGTTTTCTTCCTATCTTTTGTCAGTAGGAAAGGATGAACTCTGTCCTCTGACCCAATCAGATAGCTTGGCTCCCTCTCCCAGGGACTGACACCTAAACATAACACTGCTCCCAGTTCAGATGAACACACGGTCTCCTCCATTTCTTCTATCTGGATAAGGGGTAGCACCAGCCTGCATCATCTCTGGTCTACCAGGTTCCTTGGGAAACTGTACTGGGCTGTTAGCTTCCTCTCTCAAGGGCCAGCTCTAAAATTAGATCATTTCAGCCCATGATCTTTGCAGCTTCCTCTCCAGCTTCCTTTCCTTCCCCACTGGCCTATTTTTGCAGTGGAAGATTTCAACATACCCATGGTCAGTCCCACTGTAGGTAAAGCATGTCCACTCACAGCATGACTTTTGTGCTTCTCTCAAGCTAATATGAAAATGTTAAACTATCAATTTATTTATATACTTTAATATAGAAATATGAAGTGTTGATGATCCTAAAAGGCATACAATATAAAATTATATACTAGCTTCAGAGGGCAACATTTTTAACATGGAACAATTCTTCTTTTCATATTGACCTGAACACCACCAAGTTGTCAAGTTCTTGCTATCAACAGCCCTCTGTTTCCAGAGGCAATTGAATCTATTGGAAAGAGCAAGGGCTCTGCAGTCAAATAGCAATGGGTTCGAATCCTATCTGTGAAAACTACTTTGTGTCACTTTGAGTGACTTAGTCTCTGAGTCTCAGTTTCTTCAACTATAAAGACAGAGTTTATAACACCTGCCACAAAAGGTTGTTTGAGGACTAAATGAGATCCCAGATCAAAAGCACTCAGTCCAGTGCCTGGCACTCAGGGAAAGGTCATTCCCTCCCCTTTCTTTCCTATCTCCTCGTAATTTGAACTAAAGATCAGACTGGCTTCAAAATACTCACAATCACTTCTAGTCCTTAAGATATCCTGCAATTTTTATAAGCCACTCCAATATCAGAAATATGACTATTAAGCTTAATTGTCTCAGTTTTTCTCCATGTATAGACTAAGGAAATTTGAACAATCTCATAAACTGGGAGCATTTTAAAACATTCTCAAACAGAAGCTTATTTATTTATTTACTTACTTATTTTGCAGCCCCCTGGTCATTTTGAGTGTGCAATCAGCCTTATTGTTATGGCACAATTTTGCAGCTGTGCATGCAAGGCATATGTAACAGAAGGTCTCTTTAAAACTGAAGGTTTTTATATTTGCTTTCCATAAAATTAGGTTATGTTCAATCAGTTCAACCTAATACTTGAACATTTTCCCTTGGATGCATCCAAATGGCCAAGACCTTCTCTGATTATCAGAAAAATCACATGCATTTCTGTACATAATCACTGAACAAGCGGATGTATCCTGCATCTAGAAAACCGCATGTATCCGTTTTCTTTGTGCATCAGGAGAAACTACAGATCATGGCAGTCCCAGCATCTGCTTAGGTATCTCTTTATTAAATCTTGTGTCTCCATCCAGGCTATCGAATTCATGACTCCATCTCCTACTCCTAGATTTTATGTTTCCTTCCATCCATGTGGAATAGTGGCCCAAAAATTCTTTGGCATGCCGCTTATACGGAAAGGCAGTCTATATTCCCTCTGCTTAGGCTCTGTTACTATTTGACCCATAGAGCACAGTGTAAATGACACTGGTTCCTTCTGCTTCCTGATTCTCTTGGGGCACTCGCTCTGGAAACCCTGCCACCACTCTGTGAGGAGGTACAAGGTGTCTCATGGAGAGGTCAACATGCAGAGGATCCAACAGCCAGAGCAACTTGCCAATCCCACACAGAAACTGTTTAGAAGCAGACCTCTATCCTCATTTGAACTGTCACAGCTCACCCTGCTGAGCCCTGCTAAAATTTCAGATTCATGGGCACAATAAATAATTGTTATTCTTGTAAGCCATTAAGTTTTGGAATGGTTTGTTATGCTCTAATAGATAACTGGAACAATCCCCACAGGTTAGATTTCCCACTGAAAGGAGTTTAGGTAATGCTCGGATGTAATCAGTAGGCTATAATCATTTATCTTTAGAAGCCAGAGTCTATCACCTATGACCTTGCTTCTCTCCTCTGCCATTACCTCTGTGAACTCCTCTACAGCCTCTCCCTTGAATCCTATATTCCTGGTATCGTGGTCTCCTGATGGCTCTTCACATATACAAAACATGCACGCCGCTCAGAACTTGACATTATGGTCTCTCTGCCTAGAATCCTCTTCAGCCAGATATCCACTTAGATCATCTTCAAGTCTTTGCTCAAACCTCACTATCTCAATAGGACTACTCTATTTAAATTGCAAATTCACCTGTTCCAGAGAACTCATTCTCTCTTTTACCCTGCTATAATTTTCCTCATAATATTCATTAACTTACCTGTCATTTATTTCTCCATCGGTAAAATATAGGATCAATAAGAACAGGAATTATTGAACTTTTTTTTTTCTGTTTAGTTCATCAGAGTATTTTCAGCTGCATAGTGTTTGGTGTTCAACAAATACGTGATGACTGAATAGAGAAAGCATAGCGATCAGCTATTGCTAGTGATATATATAGCCATCAGCTCTTGGTACGCTGCATGGCATGCATTATGTGAGAGATTAAATAATCAGAGCTCACTATGGTGGGACAAATGAAAAGAAAGACAGAGAAGCAGCAGGTCCTAAGTTTTCCAGAGGTGCCTAGGTATGTGGAGCCCAATGGTCCAACAAGAGCATCACCAGCATACGGAATAATTTCTTGCCTGCTTTAAAAGGCCCAAAACTTCAGGGAGGGGTGAAATGGAAGGAGCTATCCTGTGCAGAGGGGGATAATGAGGCTGCAGTGAAGGCGAGCCCCTAACCCATTTTAAGGGACCTCCAAATTCTGTCAACTTTTCAACTTCATGTAACTGGAGTTAATCAGATGTGCTCTTTGGTGCCTGGTTTCTCTCAGCACTGTGTTCAGTGTCACGCATGTTGTGTGTGGTTATAGTTCATACACTTTTCATTGCTAAATGGTATTTCATCATATTACTGTATGACAATTTATTCTTTCTTTAATGAACATTTCTACGATTGGAAATCTTGCTCTTTTATAAACACAGCTCTTAAGAATATTCCTTTCTGTGTATCCAGGGGCCCACAGACATTCAGTACTTTAGGGGAGATGCCACAAGTAGAACAGCAAGGTCACAGGGATGAATATCGTCAAGCTCACTGATATAATCAGCTTTTTCTAAAATTATTGCACCAGTTTACATCCCCTTCAGCAGTATTTGAGAGTTTTTTGTTGCTTTATACACTCGTGAACTCCTGTTTGGAGTTGACTTGGATTTGTTTTTTAGTACTTTTTTTTTTCCCTCTTTTCTTCCCTCCCTCCCTTCTTTCCCTCTTTCCCTTTCTTTTTTGGTCTTCGAAGAGAAGTTTTAAATTTTATAGTGATCAAGTGTATAAATCTTTTGTGTCTTTACTGTTTGTGTGTCTTGCATAACAAATTTTACCTACGCTGGAGTGAAGAAGATTCTAGACGGACTCCTAAAACATTTTTGTTTCACCTTTCACATTTAGGTCTATAATCCACACTCATTTCTGAGTATGAGTTAGAGGTACAATTTCATTATTTTTTCCATATTGACACCAATTGTTTACCGTCTTTGTCCACTGTTCTACAGTGCCAACCTTTATCATCAGTCAAGGGTCCATATATATATATGCATAAGTCATTTCTGAATTCTATTCTGCTCTTAGAATTGTAAAATCCAGCTATTTGTGTAATCCTGCACTAAAACCACACTGTCTTTATTATTACATTACGTTGTAAGTCGTGACATTTAATAGAATATATACTTCCATGCAGGATTAACTACATAAGGACCCACTGAAAATAAAAATGTTCAAAAATTATTAAGAATGTCAAGATGATGACACTAGAGTGTTAAAGTAAGCATG